AACGTATCGAAACGGCGATATACTTTTCTTAGTTCAATAGCTACAATGTGAGTTGCGCAAGTAAGATATCAGGAAAACTTAAATACTTGGAGTACACCACTGGAATCGAATCTTTGGCATAATTATGTACTATCAAACTTTATTATAATAACAGATTACAATTTATGACTATTAATATTATACATTACAATTTTACGCACTGGATATATGAAGCATGTTTAAATTTTATTTAAATGTGTTGTAATCCTATGTTGCTGCTACGACGTAAAGAAAGAAAAAAAAAAGACAATCCTTATGCAATATAGAAGTTTCTGTGATTATAATATCTCAATAGCAGAGATAATTGTAACTGATAGTATATAAAAATCTTTATTACGTTAAATTACATGCACTTAATTATAAGCGTAGCATGTGCGTAGCTTTAGATTAAAAGACATCAACGACAAAACGCAGAAAATATACCTAAAATATTTTGAGACTTAAAATATTTTAAGTATCAACAGTTGAAACTATGTTTTCACTTAAAAAAGGGATTGCACCCAGCTACGGCGTTTTTAAACGGTTTTATTTAGCTCGACCCGTACGGAATTTGTTTGTTTATTTATTTGGGTCAAAATTAGAAATTGAAATTTAAGCACCTTGCCGTTGTCAGATTGATCTGAAATTTGGTACACACATTTAATTTAGATGACAATACAATATTAACAAAAAAAAATTAACAAAAAAAAAAAACATAAAATAAAACCGTTTAACTTAAAAGTTTTTTAAAGTAATTATTTAGACTCTACACGTATTTACCGCCCCTTATTAATGAAACGTAGACACCGTAAGCATTTAATGTCATATACATATACATACGATGACGAATGTTGTATTCATACGATATTATTAATGTTTTTGCCGGTAGATTCGTTGTATATGTAGATACATTAATTGTTTACGCCAGTGTAAATATATAGAACCATAAACGCAGAGGCCAGCAAGTTGCGCTTCGTAAGACTATTTATTGTTCTAGGACATTGTCAGGTCAGTGAGTCTATTAGATTGCTCGGTGAAAGAGCACTCGGATACTAAAGTACATCTAAAGTGCACATTTCCAATGACATTCTCTGCGCGTATTTTATCTTATTAATGTACTTAGCTATAAGGAATAACGTTATAAATATATATGTTGCAAAACATTTGTATTTATAATGTTAATTTCCTTATATTGAGTTGAATGATGAGTCGAACATAACATAACTATCATAAAGTATTACAGTTATTAAACTTAGACAACATTTTGCTAAGACTCAAAATATTATTCGAAAGATAAATTAAAATGTTTAGATATTTGATATAAACAATGCTATATAAATAGAAGCATAATTTTAGGTTTGCTTAAAAAAATATAATAAAATAAGATTCAACAATACTAAAAAAAAGATTTATAAGGAATTAAAAAAATAGTGTGAGAATAATTACTTAATAGACAAAGAAGAAGGACTTAAAATTTATTTTTCTCTATCTATTGAAGTTCCGACCATCGTACATGTGTCCGTAGCCACTGTAGCAGCCTCCTCGTTTCAGTTTTTATGCTGACAGCCATCTGGTGTTGCAATTGCACCCTCTCTTCGAGTTGCCACGCAGTCGCAATTGTCTTGTCTCCCTTTATTTATCCGATATTATTCAGCAAATGGACGGCAATTGCGAGTTCCCGTATGCCTGGCTTTAAGAATGACCACAGCATCACAGAGTTAAATGGCGGCGATGCAACGCCAAATGTCTAACAACTCAATCTTTAATTTTATTTATTTACCCTTCATCATTTCAGCCTGTTTGAGTCAAACCACGACCCTGAGCCATCTATTGACTATACAGCGTGTCGTTACAACCGCGACAATAAATGAACACACATATAGAGGATAACTTTTTAAAATGTATTAAACATTTACATTCTTTAAACATCAATATTTACCGAGTTATTAAATTTTCCAAAACAAACAATTTTAGAACACCCTTACGTATAAAACTGTAACGTAAAGTTCATTTGTAAAGGTCACAAAGCATATGAATGGGTTGAATGAATTTAAAAGAGACAAAACGTTCCCAATAAAACAACACCAATAAATAAATATATTAAAGAAATACAGCGTGTCGTTACCACCGCGACAATAAATGAACACACATATAGCGGATAACTTTTTAAAATTGTATTAAACATTTACATTCTTTAAACATCAATATTTACCGAGTTATTAAATTTTCCAAAACAAACAATTTTAGAACACCCTTACGTATAAAACTGTAACGTAAAGTTCATTTGTAAAGGTCACAAAGCATATGAATGGGTTGAATGAATTTAAAAGAGACAAAACATACTGTTAGAAGGAGAGGCTTGTAATGCGACGCTGTGGCGCGAGCTATATAGGATGTTACAAATTTTCTTTCCTTTTTACTTAATTAGTTTGTTTGAAAAATATATTTTTTTAATTATGGATTTTTTTAACGTTTTATATTTTTTTTATGATTATTGGCAAGTAGCGTTGGACGTGTTTTAATTTATTGTTGAAATTGTAACGACACGCTGTATATTGCAATGGAACATACAATAAAATAAATAAATTGAAATATACATACACACATGCAATTAAAAAAATAGCAAAGACTAGATACATGATGAAACATTAAACAAAAATAACCTTTATGTAGGAATTCATTCAAAATTGTGATGAAGTTAAGGGCTAAAGTGACCGATTCTTTATTTATAGGGGATTATACGAAAAAGTTTGTCACTGTTTCTGAATCTTACTTTGTTGATTAGTGTATTTTTCGATTACAATGGATCAGTTTTTTTTTTCAGAATGCCGAAGACTTGGTCTTGATTCCTATAGCTGCGTCGATGTTTTCGTACTTTTTCTACAAAATTTTAATGTTTAATCTTAAGTGCAGAGATGAGCACTATAAAAAAAATTAAAATATGTAAAAAAAATACTGGCCACACATCCCTTTCACATAAAATAAGGGCATTATTGTTATAATAAGAATTTTCTAGAAATCCCAATTTATTCCTTTAATTTTCATTTTCAAACATACAACTTTTAGCCAATTGAAATAAAAAAAATTGGTGCTTCGGGATTCGGATGTGAGTCTTCGCAGTATCGCTCGCAGCCGCTTTGACCGCCGAGCTAATAACCGATATACTCACCTCACGTAATTTTATCGCTTGTTGATTCGTTGCACATGTAAGTACATTCCCTCACCTCAAGAAAATCTAGACATCTATGTTCTTTCTTTTATTGCATTTTTAGCAATGCTTGACGACGTCTAGTGTGTACACTTTACAGCATCCCGAAATTTTTCAAATAGCATTTTTACAAAAAAATTACATTCTAAGTTACATCGTGAATGCTCTCTGCATCTTCTTCTCAAGATGAAACTTAAAATGGAAAATCATAAATTTCTAATAGCTAATGACACTGATAGCTATAGACATGACTCCGTGGCGCAGTTTCCAAGGTATTGGCTTCGGCGTCGGGGGTCGTGGGTTCGATTTCCACACGGGAAAACTATTTGTGTGACCCACAGATAGTTGTTTCGCATCTGGGTGTTTGTCCACGTGAAATTTATGTTTGTAAATCGTCCTTACAACACAGGACAATGTTATCCTAAAGTAAGGGCAATTTAAATAAAGAAAGAAAAAAAAAAGAAAAAGAAATAGCAAAGACAACTTCTCTTCTTCTTCTTGGGTGCCATATCCTATCAGATGTCGTTGACCACCACACGGAACTCTTCTCTATTCTGCGCCAATCTATAAAGACTGACGGCTTCTTTGATGTCCGTCCATTTTTTCAAATTGTCAGTCCATGTTATTCGTATTGGTAGCTATTAAAAAATATAACATATTGAAAAATATAATTGAAGGAAAAATAGAAGGAAAACGGGGAACAAAGACGAATAACAACTTCTCTAAAGGCGTTCACCTTATTCATTGTAAAATTTTTGAGATTTCAGCGATAGATTTTTTAAAATTCTTAGTAGTATTAATAACATATATTTCATTCATAAATATTTCAATTGTAATGACAAAAAGGTTTTATGTATAAGGACAAATCTTTTGTTTGCTTCTTATCGCTTAAGATTGTGTGACGCTTAACGGCGTTGTCCCGAAAGTTATGGTCATTCCTATTAGTCGTAAAATGAAAGGATTTCTATGAACTTACGTAAGTTTTACGTCTAACTTGAGAGCAGTTGTCCACCGACATTAGACCGTATTGTATTAAGTCCGTTAAGATGCGACTCAACTTTTACTGTTCACGTGAAATAATCACATCTTAAGCTATAACATCTGAACGACAGCAAAGTGCAAGAGATGGCTAATAAAAACAAAGTGCTTCGTAATTCTGCCGTAACTAGGTCGGACATTGTTTTAAAATGTCACCGTCAATTCAAAATAATGTTCGCTCTATTGAGACGTCAAGCGACGTTCACGGTTCGTTTTATGTTGTTCCTAGCTTCTTTAGATTGTTTCTAGACAAACGGGTGGCTTTAACAGTTGTATATAAGTTTTAATGGGTCCGAGCGCATTAATTTCACGACGCCTCATCAAGGGTTAATGGCGGAGAATGGCGCGATCTTTCGCGATCGCCGCCTTCCTCTGTCACCCTCGCCTCACCCTATTTCGAGCCCGGGGCGGTCAGTTGGGAAGCGAGTCTATGGAGGACGCACGCTTTCAGCGCCACGCAAAAGTTTTCACGATTTGACCGAAACTTTTACGAAATGCTTGGACTTCTTTTTGATTCTATAAAGTCGTTTACCGCAAAGCTTCTACTATTATTCACGTAGAGCAGAATTTCGATGAAGTTTAAAATAACGAAAATAATATAGTTGAAGAAATCGGATAGTTGTATGTTTGAAATATGACAATTGTAAACGAGCTTGGATCTGTATGCGGGCTGTTATTAATATTTGTTATGTCTCCTACGATTGCGGAACGTACGATTTACAAAATAGGGGTCTTAATGGCATCGAGGCTGGATTCACCATTTGACTTGGAGCGATGCGGCCCAGCCGTGGACCTGGCGCTGGACAAAATCAACGACAAGTTCCTAGCGCATCATAATGTCGAACTTCAGAAAGTGCAAGGAAGGTAAATGTTTCTATTTTTTTTAATTTAACTAGGTTTTTTACTTGCATTAATTTACACAAACGAGTATTTAATCTCACAGATAGTGTAGAAACACTCGAAAATTGTGCCATGAAAAGTGTCCCTCTACAAAAATCGGATGATAAATGTATTGCAATACATTTTTGAAAAATTTCATAATACCCATCTGCGTATCAAGTATGCGTTTTAAAGTTTAACTTTTGTTTATGCGTTAAAGTATCTAGCATCTAGATTGTAAAGTATTACAAAGTATCTAGATTGAAAAGCATAGAAACCACTTTGATTTCATTTATATGGTTTATTAAAAAGTCAATATTTTGCTGCTAGCTCTAGGCTTATTGTGACGGCACTTAGAACAGTTCTCGAAATTGTAATAAACGATATTGTATTATTAATTATCTACTTAGATGGCTTTGTATTTTATTTATTTAGATGTATATAAACGTGTTGGTGCTCGTACAAAATCCAAATCCTACATTGTTTATGTGGGTCAGATAGGTCGAGCAGTGGGATTCTCTTGATGAAACGATGTGCGACTGTAATCTTTTTAACCGACTTCAAAAGGAGAAGGTTCTGGATTCGATTGTATCTTTTCTATATGTTTGTTACCTCAGAACTTGCCACCGAGTGGATCGATTTTGTTGATTCTCTTTTTATTTGAAAGCTGGTGCTTCCCGTGTGGTCCTATATTAATTTCATTATTACTGGATCTAGGGCTCCGCAGATACTCCGTATTCATTTTTAGAAGTTCCCTACTTCTAAAAATGAATACGGAGCGAGATATTTGAAGTCAATTGTTTTTCGTTAATAAAAATCGACTAGTCTTATTCGGCGTAACATAGTAAGATTCATAAAAAAAGTTTCGTATTACGATGTTTATAAAAAACGAGGTATGGTCTAACGAAGAATGACGTTCGAATAAATGTTTGTAACATATGTTATACTAATTATATAAAATATATAAAAAATGTAAATATGTGCGATTTTTACGAAGCCGGTGTTTTGTTTTTTAATATTTCGCTCACGGTGTCTTCAGCTCTATTTTATTGTCAGAAACTTTTTCGGGAAAGTGTGAGTTGTTTTGTAACTATTTTTTCAAATTACCAAGAAATAATAAAATTTTCTAGATAAAGGCTGAACTCCATTAGCTAGTGTTGTATAGATCCACCGAACCATCCTGATTGAAAATAGTTGTCTGATTTATAGTAAGGTGTATATGTCCATATTCAAAATTTGTTTATCAAACAATTCAAAACGAATACTAATTTCCAAGGTTCTTTGAAGTCGACGCTTGTTTTTTTTACATTAAGATGTAATAACTGTACGAAAATAACAGTTATTACATCTTTACTGTTCAACATCTGGACGGATTTGGATGAAATCTGCAATTCAAATGCTTATATGCTCTATTGAGACAAAATACTAGTTATCTTATATTTAATCAATTAATTTGTAAAAGCCACGAGACAGCGGGTAAGTAATAGTTTTTCTATATAACTTTGGTCAAATCACGCAGTTATTCTTCTTCTTCTTCTTTATTTTTAATTGTACACAGAGTACAAGTGAAAACAAAGTTACAAAAAAAATGTACAAAGGCGAGCTTAACCCTAAAAAGAGTTTTCTTCCAGTAAACCCTGACATAAGATTGATGAGAAACAAATTATGATAGGTAGGTGTGTAAAACTAGATATACTTATACTCTAAATTGTAAATATATAAAGAAGAAAAAAAAAATAGAAGTAAACAAAATCATAAAACGTATAATACTATAAAATATATAAATATAAAAATAAACACACTAACAAATAAATATAAGTATATAAGTAATATTAAAAATTTTAATGTATACGTACCGATGATTTTCTATTCAGTTATCCGTCGTGTTCGGGTGCCATCGCGCCAGGGTTGGCAGCGGACATGCACTTCAAGGATGACGTGATCGCTTTCGTCGGCCCCGCGTGCGCGTTCGCCCTAGAGCCAGTTGCCAGGCTTGCCGCCTACTGGAACACGCCAATAATCACCGGGATGGGTGACCAGGTAAATGTCACTGTTTGGCTTTGCACCGCAAACATTATTGAGCAATTACAAAGATATTCACTGAAACTTAAACAGCAGCCATGGCTGTATGTAGAACTGTCAACAGATTTATTGCGACTAGAAATTGTCACATAGTTGGTGAATTTCAATTTTTATTCGACAACGCAAACTATTGGTTTAAAAAATGTAAAACATGATTTGAGCAATAGTTATTAAGTGTTGTTGCATTGAAATAAAATATCTCATAAAACAGTTTAGGCTTCTAAAAATGTAAGCAACTTCTCTCGGCATCCCGTTTTTGCGACGTCTTAATTATTCCATTCCAAAAATCGAGAGTCACTGAAGATCTGTTCTCTAATAAAAACGTAATTTTCTTAATGATCTCCCGATTGCCGCTTAAAGTAAAAACATTGTTCCGATGTTTCGGGTACAAACGAGCTGATTTTTTGATGTGAAAAGTTGGCATGCTAGCAGGCGGTTCACTTGTAATTAAGTGATTACCCCCGCCCGTAGAGATGCGTTTGCAACCATTAAAAATTGGGGGCCAGTATCTCCTCATCAGACGAAACTTCGATCTTCTGCGAGGCCGTGGTACTTCCTCGTACGATCTTGCATAAAGGAGCTGCTCAGTGGCCCTACGACGACGAAGTGGTTACCCTGAATTTATCGCGTTGATCTTTTTTTTTTTTTTAATGCAAAAAGTTGTCAAACGAGCAGACGTTTCACCTGATGTTAAGTGAATACCGCCGCCCATGGACATCTGCCACACCCGAGGGTTACAGATGCGTTGACAACCTTTTGAAAATTGGGCTCCGGCTACCTCACTCACAAGACGAAACGCGAAAGTATTTGTCATACTTCCACTTTACGCTGGTCTTCAGGTCGTAGTACTTACCCGGAAGGGCCTGCCCATTCGTGCAACAGCCGAGGCTGCTGCGTGGCCCTACCACCGTGATCTCGTAACGCGTAAGAATTGTTAGTTACCACTATTAGGGGTTGAGTTTTCGGAAATACAACCGATGCCATTAATTTATTTTATGTTAGCAGATGTTAGATGAGCCACTGTTGGCCTTAGGGGCCTTCACAGATCCGACGGACTTGAGGTGGCCTGGCGCACGAGGCGCCTAGCCTGAACCTCGGCGGGACACACGAGTTAAATCTGATAACAACTTATCAATAAAAAAAGAACAAAAAAAACGAATTGAAACAAAAAAATCTAAACCGTCCAGGGCGCCACGCAAACACATACAAAAAATTCATTCAAATCGTTTAGGAGGAGTTCAGTGACAACACACGTACAGTAGAATTGACGACCCGAATGGCGTAGTCGGTAGTGTACCTGCCTTCTGCGCCAGAGGGTGGGGGTTCGATCCCCACTACTGGAAAAATATTGTGTGATGGGCATAGTGTTTTTCTAGTGTCTGGGTGTTTGTATATGTATAATGTGTATTTATTTACAAAAGAAAAGTATGTTTAAGTATGTCTATCAGTTTTCTAGTACCCATAGTACAAGCATTGCTTAGTTTGGGACTAAGCAATTTTTATTATTAATATATTTTTAATATTTGGCGTCATATGATAAAGTTGTAATAATAAATAAAGTATGTTACGTATCAATGATGAAACTCGTTGAATGCGTAATTGGTTCGTAATTTTTGGGAACAGAAGAAAGGTCGCTACAATTGTAAAAACAATTGACAGTCAGATGAGACAAACTACATTCTACAAACAAAGAGATACATTTTCAAACGTTGTAAGTAATTACTTTTTAAATATAGTACTTTATGTTAGTGGCCAGTTCGGGAAACTTTTAGTGTTACCTATGTATAGTAGACTAAGTTTCACTCAGAAAAGCCTTCTATCCTTCATTGAAAATCCTTTAAAACAGAGTTCACCCCTTGTGTAAATTATCTCGTCAAATAAAACAACCAGACATTATTTTTTCAAAGACACGTAGCCGTAGTAGCCATATTAAACACAGCGGCGATCGGATAACCAATTGCTATTAAAAACCACCTCTATTACGAAATTGCAAACAGTGAAGTTAATGTTAATTACTTAATAGATTAGTATAGATAGCACAGGTTAAATAGAAAAGAAAAAAACAATATTAACACAGCTTAGTACTCAGTGTAATAGTATTAAATTACAGGTTAAATATCGTATCGCATGTCTGATCTTCAATGTGATTAGACACGCCACTCGTCGCAACCTTTGCCATTGTCAAGGTCCATTTAAATATCACTTAGTTGTTGAAGGAAATTCTACGGTTGAACGATGAAGCCTCTTGAGAGTTACTCGTAAAGACCCCATCTGATTGTTACTTAAGTTTATTTCACTTTCGTTTTTAAGAGTTTTATTCGATTACATTGAGTAATACTTCTATTATGTTGAGCTACAACTAGTGTTGAATGTTATTACATTATTTAATCTGGAGGATATTGTTTGTTAAGCATTGGGACCTTAAAAGTAATTGAGACGAATATAGGTAGGCATATATCTTCATTCCACATATTATGATTTAAGTTCACGCGTAGTCTTTAGGTGTTCAGCGACTCACATAATTATAAAGCATTTCCGGAGCAACTTAGCTTTAAATATCGAGCATGAGGGTTGGACATCACACAGTGGCAATGGGTACATACATTTATATAATCTTCCGCCCCTTTCATTACAAGCGTCTATGAGTTTTAAATATAATTTTACTTTTCACACACTTTCAAATGGTATTTCAATAGTTTTCTTTGAAAGTCCACTTTTATTTCTTAAATTATTAAGCGTTTTAAAGTTATCTGCATTTAAGATGGACATAAGTTACATTAAGAGACTTTAATTGGATAATAATGGAATGACGATGTTAAAAGCGAATATACTTTTACTTAACTAGGGCGTTCTCATTATCAATGACTGTGTTATCATCATATGGGATTATGGTTAAATGTAAGCCAGTCAAAAATATTATAATATTTTAAAGATCTAAACATACATAGGGATAGACAGACAGCGGGACGACTTTGTTTTATACTATGTAGTGATAATAAGTTATACATGTTTTGGCGCGTTTGGAAAAACTTATTAGAGTAAAATTTTTACGATGACCGCGCACACCGACCCTCAAAAAGCGACATAATGAAGTTGGTTGCTAAACAACCAGCTCCATCATGCTTGGTTGCAATGGTAATACCAACTTTTTGACATTTACCAGTAATTCCAAGTTATGAACCGTGATCATTTGCATTTGTCTTTACGCTAAAGAGCTATAACTTCGTACGTACATAAGTACACACACGTTTGCGTTTTGTTACAACTTAGCCGCCTTCGGAAGGCGAGTTGGCGGCACCAGCGAGCGTTGTAAGCCGAATGCACAGGCTGCGAAATCTACGAAAAGGGACCCAAGTAAGTGCGGTAAATTATGTTTTCAAATAATTGCATTAAATTTTTAATTAAAAGCTGTAACCACATTGATCTTCATGCATGCTTTATGATGGATTGTAAAAAAATTGCGTTTAGGTTATGCAATAAGACTGTTATTAATCATGACATCAAAATTTTGTGACGGTAGATTTTAATTTAGGTATTTTAAGGCAATGTAAAAAAAAACTTTTTATGAATAATGTTGTAATGTCTACCTTTAGTAGAAGAAAGTGCCCTCTAAAACCCTGGATTACTGCTAGTATTGTCAAATGCTTCAAAACCAGAGATCATATGCACAAAATTGTTAGGAAACACCAAAACAATGATTTAATTAAACAAGAATATTTAAAATATCGCAACACATGTAATCAGATAGCTAAAAACCTAAAAATTAATTATTATAAAGAAAAACTATACACAAATGGTAAAAACATTAAAAGTACTTGGGAAACTGTAAAAGAATTGTGCAGTCTAAGTAACAATCGTTCCCACGCTTCTCATCTACTTAATCTTAAACCGTCACCACTTGCGTCCCTAGACCTTGTTAATCAATATTTCACTTCTGTAGGCGGAAAACTGGCTGCGGATATCTTAACAAGAACCAAAACTAGTGAATCTCAGCTACAGAAAGAAGTAGCTGTATCAGTAAACCCAGAATCTATGTGCCTGAGCCCAACGGTTTATAAAGAAATAGACAAAATTATCCTTAACTTAAAAAGCAATAGCGCCCCCGGAATAGACAGAATATCAACAATTGTTCATAAAAACTCTCACCAAGTACTATGTAGTTTAATTTCCCATTTGTGCAATCTAAGTTTTTCGTGCGGTACTTTCCCCAATATATTTAAAAAAGCTGTAGTTGTCCCTGTATACAAGGGTGGCGATATGGATTCAGTATCAAACTACAGACCTATATCGTTACTAAGCGCAATTAGCAAAATTATTGAAAGAGCTTTTAACTCCAGACTCACTAACTTCTTAGAAAATAAAAATCTTTTAGCAACTTGTCAATACGGTATTAGAGCAGGCAAAAATACTGAAGACGCTGTATCTAGACTCACGGAATTAGTCACGAAGACCCTAGATATGGGTAAATGATGTGTGGCTATTTTCTTAGATCTTCAAAAAGCCTTCGACACCGTCCATACCACTCCTCTTGTCGAAGCTTGAGAATTTGCGTATACGCGGCATCCCACTAGAGTGGCTACGTGATTATTTGACAGCCAGAAGCCAAGTGGTTAAAGTGGACTACATTTTTAGTGCTGTTGACATCTGGTACTGGTGACTCTAACGTTACCAATCATCCACAGCCGCAGACGTTGTTCAACGACAAGGGGAAGTACCCTACTCTGACAAGGATGTCCTACTGCCAGTGCCGGCTGCCCAGGGTCTTCACCAGCGTCTTCGATCGCTTCGGTTGGGCCCATGTTGCTCTCCTGCTCGATAAGTCCGATTTGTTTTCTCTGACCGTCGGTTAGTATAATTTTTGTGTGAATAAAATGCCAATAGCTGGCTTCGATAGTAGTACGAATTTTGGTTTACCTTTTTTCTGACACGTAGATGATTTAAATTGTTTATAGTGCTAATCTTTGCACTTAAGATTGAACATTAAAATATGTAGAAAAAGTGCGAAAAGATTGTCGCCGCTAAGAAAACAATGTAGAAGAATGCGTTAAGATTTTCGTCGGTGTGGTAATCAGCCGTTTAGCTCAGTGGCTAGAGCGTCAGGCCGCGAATGCCGAAGACGTGGGTTCGATTCCCACAGCGGCGACAATCTTTTCGCACTTTTTCTACATATTTTAACGTAGATGATTGTTAATAACACAAGAAAGAAAAGGAGAGATTTATGATTTTCTAAGGTTTATTACTTTGGGAGTTTTTAAGTTAAAAATATTGAAAAAGTCAGCGACTTTCTTGGTATACTTGCGATTGTTATATTCTTTATTAAATAAATAAAAAAAAATCGATTAGAGGAATGTACGTGGATCCATGTTTATTCGTATGTTAAAATAAACTTTTCATATTTAATCTATTTTTTTATTTGCCTATTAATGTAACGGAATAAGTGAGAAATATGTAATAAGATAATTATGTAAAATTGTTGCCATGATCTCTATAGCATTTTAGCTTTCACATCCTTTCGATACATGATAAACTATGATGTAATCTATGTTCGCGGTGAATCCATCTTCCACCTGAATAAGTTCAGAATATTCAACAACCTATTATTTTGTAAACAAATTTATGCTGATGAACCTTCTCTACGTATTTATAAGAAACATGGCATGTTTTGTACGTATTAATAGTATCAACTTAGTAATAGATACCAAAATACTTTGTTTACTTTAAAGTTTATATTGTGATGGAATAATATTTTATAAGTATCATTAAGTAAACATACGCATTTGTTTATTGGATGAAAATACTATACTATGACTTACTTTTTACAATTGAAGATATTACTGTACAACATACAGTAATATCTTCAATTATAAAAAAAGTATAAAATGAGAAAAATTGTATTTGTCAATTACTTTATTTACTTTAGGACTTGACTATAAAATGCGAAATGCTTTGAAGCTGGCTTGGGTCGTTAGTTCTTTATATTTTATACTAGCTGTACCCGCGACTTCGTCCGCATGGAATTTAAAATTAAGAAAAAATCTAAAATAAAAGTTGCCTTAGTTACTCCTTATTACATCAGCTATCTGTCAGTGAAAGTCACGTCCAAATCGATCCAGCTCTTTCAGAGATAAGCCGGAACGAACAAACAGACAGACAAAAATTGTAAACAATGTTATTTTGGTATATGTACCGTGTATACATCCATATACATATAGTAAAAATCGGTTATTTTCCAATTTTATTATCTGTAAAAGGACCCGACAGACGTCCTGTACACACGACTTAAATCAGACAACAATTTATGAATAAAAAAAATTGTAGTTGACAGAATTGTGAATCTAAACCATTCTTGAATCGACCTGAAGACACACAAAAAATTTCATTGCAATCGATCCAGCCGTTTAGTAGGAGTTCAGTGGCATAAACACGTACAGAAGAATTATATATATAACTAGCGAGCCGCCCCGGCTTCGCACGGGTGGAATGTATTGTATGTATTATGCATCTAAACCTTCCTCTTGAATCACTCTATCTAGTAAAAAAATGGCATCAAGATCCGTTGCCTAGTTTTAAAGACCTAAGCATACATAGGACAGACAGACAGCGGGACGACTTTGCTTTATACTATGTAGTGAAGATCAGATCTATAACCATTATTCTTTTTATGCTACGACTAGGCAAGAGTTTAGAATGGGGCCTTCGGAAGGAAGGCGTCCTTAAAGCTGTTAGGGAATTAGACGGCAACGAGAAAGAGTCCTGCGAAGCACTACTCCGTGACGTCAGCATGTACGCTCGAGGTAAAGTATAACGCTTATTGCATTTGTCTAAAAGGCAGCGATGTTTGCCCCGTCTGTACTCGCTCTCCCCTTGTGTACCTTCTTAGCTGATGAAAATATAAACTTTGAGTACCGACCGCAATGCGAGAGCACTGTGCATTAGTTTTATGTCATTTGTTTTCACGTATATGACAATGGCGATGACTCCGTGGCGCAGTTGCGAAACTGTCGACTTGATCGCGGGGTCGATTCCCGAACGCGAAAAAGTTTTCGTTTGACTGCGGTTAATTTTTTTGGATCTGCCGGGTGTCTCCATGAGGTTTGACAGAAGAACGCCTACTCAATACTAATAAATTATGATTTATATACTATACAGCCCCATTTAGGTTAATTGCCACCTAGATGGGATTCATAATATGTGGTACGTTGTAGGGTATGTGGATGAGATTGGACTACAAACCCACGACTGATAGTCGCAAATCACAAGCTTGTAGAAAAAGAAATTGCTCGAATTAGTTGAAGTATGCGCAGTTGCTAGATGTTTGCATTTTTAACTGTATGAAGAGATATAGGGTTGTGACCATTTACCTTTGTTGCAGTGGTGATATTGAGTGTCAGGGGCTCCTTGGTGCGCGAGTTTTTGCTTGCAGCCCACGCCCTGGGCATGACGCGCGGCGACTGGGCTTTTCTGGATGTGGAAATTTTTCAGGTGCCCCCTTTTGCTTCTATACAATCCACTCATGACGCTATTGAAGGCTAGTTAGGAATTGCAGCAGAGCAAATGCCTTGACTATAGGTGATATCTATAAACGAGATAACTATATACGAGATTATAAAAAATTATGCGTACTCATGGTTTCTCCTCGATATAGGCTTGACTAGTTAGACAACAGATATTACATTTGTACATTAAAAGTATCAGTAAATTGTACTTTAGGAAACTTTTATATATGTTATTTATTGTTAAGTTAATTTTATTTGTAGTACTTGTTGTTGTAAATAAATGTTTGAAATTTTTTTATTTTGATGCTTAGTTGTCATTGTTCGTCTTTATTTCTTTGCTCGGGTTGTTTAACTAAAAAATTCCTGCTTGACACTTAGTGTGTATCCCACCTTAGATATAATGGTCACGTACTTAAGATAAGTGAATTTGGTTAATTAGTACATAACTTATTTAATTTGTTTAACCTCGGCGCAAGATATAAGAACCGTGCAATAGTTCAGTGTTTGGGCGCTCCCTTTAAATTTAATATACTCGAACAACCTGAATTCAAATACGGTCTCGCGCCAATCAATTTATTAATTGCAATTTTAAGTTCTGACTTATCATGTGCTCAATAAAAAAAAATTCTCGAGAAAACCTGCACATATTAGAAATAATGATAGTATTAATAAAAAATATTACCAATATATGTGAAGTCCGCTAATACAAGGCGGGGTCACGTGGTAAATTATGCCCAAATACCCTCTGCCCAGAGGAGGGCTTTGTCCAGCCGATGGACATATAGGCTGCTACTTTTGCTTACTACTACTACTTTAAGATGTTATAATTCCAGTTTTTTTTTATTATTATATTTGGTTTCATTAAACTAATTTTACCTTGAATCCGTTTGATCTGCGTTGTAGTTCCGTTAAAGCGTTATCCATCAACATTGAAATCACCAATTACACATTATTATTGTTTTTACCATCTTATAATATAATATATGCCGCAGTCGATGGTCATCAGAGTCAAACTTAAACTCTTAAAACTATATGTATAAATACGCGCTACAATATACCCAGCACTATAATCTCGTAGAAACCTAACTTTGGCTTCGCGTCGATTAAGTATAAGTAAATAAGACACCCCGATAAGGTAGTCACAAACACTGAAAAACACCGTGCAACAAAGTCAAAGACGTTTACGCTGATGTGTAGGGGGGTTATTGGGGGGAGACGGGGTGGGCGGCGGGGGACGAGCGAGATGCGGCAGCGAGGGCGGCTTACGAGGCACTTCTTCGAGTTTCCCTCAAGCTGCCCACTGGTGACCGTTTCGACGAGTTCGCGGACACCGTACGAACGCGCGCGAAACAGCACTACAACTACAGCTTCTCCGACGGCGAAGAGGTGAGTCGACATTACCTGTCTTTTATCATCACCCCGACATCTAATGTCAAATAAAGCAACGTCTCATTGCAATAGAGAATTTGACACGACCTTCCCAGTAGACCGGCGTGAGGGAGACAGTACTTCTTTTTCGTCCAGTGAGTGAGGTAACCGGACCCTAACTTATTAAAAGGTGGCACTGGCAACGCATGTGTAACCCTACGGATGCTGCAAATGTCCATGGGCGGCGGTTATGATTTGACATTTTTTGACTTTCATTAACATTTTTTGATGATTCCGTGGCGCAGTCGCCAAGGTATTGGTTTCGGCGTCGGAGGTTGTTTGTTCGATCCCCACGCGAGAACATTATTTGTGGTGACCCGCAGTTAGTTGTTTCGCGTCTGGGTGTTCGTCCACGTGAAATTTATGTTTGTAAAACGTCAGTACAACACAGAATAATGTTATAAAGTAAAGGCAATTGTTTTAACAAAACACTATATAAAAAATACTCTCGCGTCTTCATCCCTGAAAACGGTGTATATTTATTTACTTCGGAAATAAACATTATACGCCACGTTTGTATATAAGTTGTAAAAAACCAGGTAGGTTTCCTTCAATAATTGAAACTCAAAAGTAAATGCAATAATACAAAATGAAAACAACAATGACATATTACGCTATAAAAAAGTCAACAATAAAGAGGTAGCAGAATAAAATTAAACAGAATTAAATGCTTTCTCCCCATTTTCTTTTTTTCGATCGAATATTCATTTAATGAAAATTCATTCGAGATAAAAATGCTGAATTATTCACTCGTCCTACGTTTTCCGAACTATCGTAAGGTTTTGCAGACAGCTTAGGGATTGAGAGTAACGGTTGAGCATAATTATTTTGACGGCACCGGCGTGGCGGTGACCGAAATATTTCTTGAACATTGGGAACACAACATTATGAGACATACATGACATCGAAAGAGATAAATAATAGACTGTGAGTTCCAAACTCACGTCTTAGATTAATGGCGTAATCGCTGATCGATGGAATTTCACAAATTTTTCATGAAGCAATATTAGTACTATTGAAGTACAATATTAGTACTATCGAACCCGAACCGAAAATCTAAAATTGTGGTAGGAGATGTTAGACTATACTAACGACATTTTTGAATAAAAGTACAGTTGACTGAGGGACGACTAGAGCAGGAGTTTTTTTTTTCTGTTGAAGCACGATTCAATACCTCTTTCAGGAAAGTGCCAAGGCCTCGAAGGAAACAGTTGTAAATTGGAAGTGTATTATTAATTGAAAACTACTGCGTTTTGTGTGGTTTATGATGAAGCCGGATACCCATTCTGCTAAAGGTTGACAGTCCATCTGCATTCCCATAAGTGTTTAAGATGACTATGGGTGGCGGTAATAACTTGAAAACAGGTGAACTGTCTGCTCGCTTGCCACCTTATCATATAAAAATCATTTAAACAAATCGTACAAGAGAATATTTTGCAGTAATTAACAGTAGAAGTTTTTTAACAGGTGAATTTTTTCATTGGCGCTTTCTACGACGGAGTGTACCTTCTTGGTATGGCGTTGAACGAGACCTTGACCGAAGGCGGTGACATCAGGGACGGTAGAAGTATCACGAGACGTATGTGGGGACGTGACTTCCACGGTGAGAAACGAGAAACGATCGCTTTCCATTGTATGAGTCAGTTACTACTTGCTTTTTTTATGCGAAAAGTTGCCAAGAGGGGAGGCGGTTCACCTGATATTAAGTGAATGCCTCCGCCCATAGACATCTGCTACGAGGGTTTGCAGATGCGTTGACACCTTTTTGAAAATTGGGCTCCGGCTACCTCACTCACTAGACGAAACGCACAAGTATTATACTTTCACTTCACGCCGGTTTTCTGAGAGGTCTTATAGGCTACTTACGCGGATGAGCCTGCTCATTCGTGCAACAGCCGAGGCTGCTGCGTGGCCTCAGCTGTTGTCTACCACAGTAAAACTACCTACCTTGCTTCATCGTCATCATCATTTGAGCCTGTCTGAGTCCGCTGTTGAACATAGGCCACTCCCACAGTCTGCACAAGCAAGCCTCTGAGTCACGTGCATACAACGCCTTCAGCACACTTGAACAGGTCGTCACTCCACACCTAGCGGGGGTCTTCCTACACTCGTTGCAGGTGAAATATGCATTAAGATGTATATTATGATACTCAAATTATTTTATTAATTGAGTCTCTTTTATATATCTTTTTATGTGATGGCTTTCATCAGCCTTTTTTATCACAAGGAATGAAGTAATGAATTGTTTCAATTATGGCATCGAGACTGAAAGACAATTAAATGGAAACATTCAGACCTGTAAACAAAAAATAATTTCGCTCGGAATTGAGAACCTTGGATTCAGACAGAGTATGCTCGATCTCAATGGTTATGATAATAACAATTACTCGATTCTTTTATTATTAACTTTAAACTTCATTGCAATTATATCTATATATATATATATATAGTATATTATCTAAATAAATGATCTAATTTATTTACTTAAGCATTGGTAAAAGAGCTTTTATTTTGTCCATGTTTAGGTATAACTGGACACGTGCGAATAGATCCCGTAGGTGATAGGGACGCGGATTACGCCATATTGGATTTAGATCCTGTTACTGGAAAATTTGAGGTCAGTGTTTTTAAAGCTACATAGCTTTTTAATTGAAATTCGCTCTAAAGGTACATAATTAATACCATTTTAATTTGGAAATATATTGTAATAATTGGCGATGACTTATTATCAAATCAAAAAAGTGAATTATATCTAAATGTATTATTCTATAAATGTCAATTATTACACAAATAAATTATTACAAAACCGATGAGACTGACGTCATATATATGTGTACAAAAATCCCATACCAAAATAAATAGAGAATAACAAACATATAAAGCATGTATGTATATAATGTCTTATAAAATCTCTACACGTATTTTATTTCAAGTAAATTGGTCTTTTGATATTGATATATCAGATTCTGGTATCCAATATTCGAAATAAAAGCTATATACTGGAGTAATTGTAATATTAATGTTTTATTACTTAGACAAGTTGCCTTGATTAGGTCATACGACGTTCGCAAGTTGCAATTCTCATTGTACAGGTAGTGGCGTTCTACTACGGGCTTAATAGCAGTTATAAGCCGGTAGCCGGCAAGGCCATACACTGGCCAGGCGGCCGTCGTGGACCCCCGCCTGATACCCCGCGGTGTGGCTTTTTGGGCACAGATCCCATGTGCCAAGGAGGTACGGAATCCGGATACTATAAGACCTTATTGTTAATTTTATGATGATATTTTTATGTCGAATGGTTAAGGTTGGTTAAAGGGAATGAGTTACGTATTAACATTGAAATCTATCACGCAAAAGAGTAGACAGTTATAATAGATTTAAAAAGTACATTGTTCCCTATTTCCATTATATAATCACCTGTACGTTCAAGATACGTTCGTTCTCTCTATTTATTTTATTTGATTAATTTCAGGTTTATATTAATTGTTATAAAAATTGCCAACTTGACCGTAAAGCTATCCAAATACCAATTTAGATGGTTTCTGAAAGACGAACGTAGTTGTGTTTTAGCCCTTATAGGTTATTATAATGTTGAGTTTTTAAATAAAGTTATGGGTCGCTGCTCCTTTATTCGAACACGAAACGTTGGAAAGTTAAAGCAACCCCGTGTTGTGATTTATGGCGCGTAGTTAACAATATTGCAGGAATTTAAATCATCTCAAGTTACGGCGCCGGGAACTTAGCAGTGGCATCCTTTCTTCGGAGTTTGTAACACAATTTGCATGGAAATCTTAGGGAAGAGCTTTTATTAAAGCGCAAGAGCTATAACTTTTCAATCATTTCATTACTTCGAATAGTGAGTTAATTCGCTTTCATCTAGTTGCAGTTCATTATTGGTAATCTTAGTTATCTCTTTCATTTGGTAAACTGATATTAAAATCGAGATGTAAAAGATTTTAGTACATTGTTTCTACACTATTTAGACTGATTAGAATTAGGTAGAAGAATCGAAAGATATAGATAAACTTTAGCTAGATTTAGATTAGTAGTTAGTTTGAAATCTGTTGTTATTTCGAAGCTACAGTACAAACCCGACATCTGATTGCCTACAGTACCAGAAAGATCCATCAACGGATGCTACGACATTCGTTATTTTCTGATCAATTTGGCACGAGACTTCCAAATGTTACAAACAAGTAATGAAATGTAGATCTTTTTAGACACGAAGGAGAAGTAACTTTAATACGAATAGAAATTCAAACTACTATTACTAACGTACAATATTTACTTTATTTTGCTTGTACTTTCACGCTGCTATATCAGAGGCTCAGACAGTTATTATTTACTGTTTTATCGGATTGGCGTTGTTCCTTACACTGGCCGTAACGGCAGCATGTATCGCTTACAAGTGAGTAAAGTATAAGATTTAAATTATCTTAAACTATCCAACGAGTGTTTTTATATTATATCATATTATTATTTATGTTATTTTACTTATCTGTTTCCAGTTTTACCAATGTTTGTTAACGTTCTATTTTTACGTATAATGTTTAGGGATTTTGGATTTTGATATTTTGTTTCCATAAGTCTAATCTATTTACGAAATTGCACTTTTATTTATGGAATGGTTGAATTTTCCCGTCGAGTAAGTGTTCAACAGATAGTTTCAACTTTAATGTCTTCAGACAAGCTCGCATTGACGCTGAAATGAACAACATGGCGTGGCGGGTGCGCCCAGAAGAAGTACTCGTTGAGGTGGGAACTGGTCTAGGGGCAAGCCCGGCGCTGCACAGCTTGAATGAGGTTCTGAAGGTTCGTAGAAAGCTTCTTGCTTCCTTTTAGCTTAGGATCCTACTCTTAGTTATTGTCTTATTTTTTTGGGTTCCGTACCTAAAGGATAAAACGGGACCCTGTTACTAAGACTCCGCTGTCTGTTTGTCTGTCTATCTGTCTGTCTGTCTGTCTGTCCGTTTGTCACCAGGCTGTATCTCATGAACCGTCATAGTTAGACAGTTGAAATTTTCACAGATGATGTATTTCTGTTGCCGCTATAAAAATAAATACTAAAAAACAGAATAAAAAAAATTTTAATGGGGCCCACATACAAAAGACTGCTGCTTTTATAGATGGTACGGAATCCTTCTTGAGAGTCTGACTCGCAATTTAGCGATTTTTATGGTGTTATTGTTACCAAACTTTGCAATGATCCTTACACTCTTTAACAGATCCTTTTAGTAATTGTCGTGTAATTTTACGAAACTCTTATTATACTTACTATCTACGTGCCTTACGTGAATATGAAGTAAATTTTTATAAATTCAATAATACTTGACCGGTATGGCGCCATTACTTCCAGATAATAGAACCATTTGGAATGACGCATAGCGATTGTACATGCCATATCATATAAATGCCTTAATCTTATTCTTGTATAACCCATTAAACCTTTTCACATTTAATGTTATCTATAGGATATTTGAAGATATCTCGGCATAATACAATAACTTTACATTGTACTAATTGACAATCTACAAATGGAGACATTGTAGTCCTATCTCTATCTCTATACTTATATAAAAATGAATCGCTGAATGTGTTGCTAAGCGCAAATCTTGAGAACAGCTGAACCGATTTCGCTTATTCTTTTTTTATAATATTCCTCGAAGTACGAGGATGGTTCTTACGGAGAGAAAAATTTAAAAAATTGCCTGACAAAGTCTAAAAACAACGCTTTTCTATATTCCCGTACAAAAGATTCGTAATCATACTTAAAAGTCAATTTGAACTTTTATACCATACCATAAAGTTTAAGTGTTAGTGGAGTGACTGTGGTAAAATGTCACTTGAAATGTAAACGTCTCTTTGCTGTGATTCACTACATAGTATAAAACAAAGTCGTCCCGCTGTCTGTATGTCCCTATGTATGCTTAGATCTTTAAAACTACGCAACGGATCTTGATGCGGTTTTTTTTTAACAGATAGAGAGATTCAAGAGGAAGGTTCAAATGTATTATACATTGCAGCTGTGCGAAGCCGAGGAGGGTCGCTAGTGATAAATAAAATGTAATGCAACAATGTTTCGACCGATTGATCTATTGATGTTACTGTGCACTGCACGGGAAACCTTTGTTTACAAAGGTCACTGCACCGGCGGTAGATGGCAGTCATTTCACCTTAACTTGCACTTACCTTAGAAATTATCTCGGGTACGAATAAATTCCGTTTCAAAATGAAACCGAGCGGTCTAGCTACGAAGTTACCTTCTACGTGCAGTAATAAGAGTTCAAGAATAATTTTCTCGCTGACGTCAACGTTATTTCAGCTTACACTTGGGATTTAATGTGCACGCTTTCTAATTTAGCGAGTAATTTATTACATTGTCTTAGCATTTAATTAAACGGCGAGATGCATTGGACGTCTTTTTTTGTATTTATATCGTATATTTAATTGAGATGTGACCTTTCTTTCATTAAAACAGCATCGAATTCATAATAGAGAAATTTTTACAATTTTTATACGCAGCTATAGTTAGTTTCTATACAGTTTACGGTAACTTTAATGCGACCGCTAAAAATGGACTAAAGTATCTTATGAGATCATATTTTCGTGGAATACCATTAAATTCATAATAGGAAAATGTTTACAATTTTTATACGCAGCTTACGATAGTTTTTATATAGTTTACGGTAATAAAGTTACCGTAAACTGTATAAAAACTATCGACCGCTAAATATGGACTAAAGTCTCTTTAGAGATGATAGATTTGCGTAATAATAATTTCAATATAAGTAATAATGGGAAAAAAATTGAGTTTTCAAGAAAATAACAGTGCATCTCGTCTGGGTTTACTACTTGCTATTTGATCAGTTGTTCCTTGTATCTTGTAGATGAGAGTAACTAAATGTGGGCTAGTGCTTTAATATGGGCTAGTAACAATTCTCGAAAACCTACAATCGAAAGACTCAACAAACGACGATCGTCTATCGCATTCATTCGCTCTAATATTGCACTCACTCATTCTCGTCATTCGCGCGCAAGCTGTCACCAGTGTCGGCCATACTTGTGTTGCTGCTGTCGAAAAATTTTATGCGGTACGTATCAATGTGTTATTTAATGAATGAAAATTAGGTTTAAATACTATAACTATGTGTTTTATTGCAGAATATAAGTTTAATTTTATGATTTTCGGTAGATTTATTGCTTGCTATTATGATTTGTAAAGTACATGATTAAGTTGATTTTAGTAAAGAATTTCGAATATGGGCTATGATTATGGTCCTGAATATGGGCTATGGTCAAGGTCTGAGACTCAAACAGAAGAATTTACTTCTGGAACTGGACATGATTCAACAGATAACTGTCAACCTTCGTCTTCCGGAATTCATCGTAGCATTCTAGGTTTAGTATCTCCTTATGACATAAGTCCCATGCCAAAAAAAATCACAAAGACAACTAATAGAAGTAGAAAAGCTGCTGTGGCCTCGCGTATAACTTCGTCTCCATATAAAAATGACCTTATTCAAACAAATAAGAAGAAAATTGAAAAAGAAAATAAAATAAAAGATAATAAACCCAAGCAAAAGCAAATAAGTATAGGAAATAAGAAAGCCAAGGACGAACTTGAAGTTAAAGAAGATATCCAATTTGATTCAGATAGTGAACCAGATGCCCCTATAGGAAGAGAGGCTCCTGACACTGCCGACGCAGCGTGTATGTTTTGTCAGGAACTTTTTTCCGAAAACGCGGCAGGAGAATTGTGGGTCAGATGTTTAATGTGTAAGCTCTGGGCACATACCTAATGACTGTGCTGGGCCAGAGTTTGACATCTGGATATGTGATTTTTGTAAGTAATTATGTGATTTCTTCCATGTACCAAAGTAATTTGATCTCTTATAAGATAAATATTTTTAATTATTATTTTTGTACAAGATATTTTAAGTTTCTATTTGTAGCCCATATTTGAGTACCTGTTCCATATTTGGCGCCTATTTTGATATTTTGTTTAATGCTCAATTTAATAATATATTATAAAATTAAAAATATAAGATTGTTAATTAGTTCTTTAAAAATGTATGTGTAATTATTTTGACGTCAATAAATGGTTAATTTTTTTAATAGTTTTTTTATTTTTGAGGCATAAACAAAATGGTAGCCCATATTTGGTTACTCTCCTCTATTAACTGATGTTTTTGCTTTCAGTCCTGAGACTATTAAAGCTTCATCTGACGCAGGACCGGTGGGCTAGCCAGAACCCACGGGTTTGGGCCCTCCGCTGTGGGTAGGGCCGCTATCAGTTGTTTCAACATCTAGTGCATCTCTATTATGATCAGTTATCTCTACATCTAGTATATCTCTGTTATGATCAGTTGTCTCTACATCTAGTGTATCTCTGTTATGATCAGTTGTCTCTACATCTAGTGTATCTCTATTGTGATCAGTTGTCTCTAAGTTGGACTCCAGCGAGTACGGGCGCCTCTGGGGTCGGCGGGGCTCCAATAACCCTGTCCTCCTTCACAGTTGGCCTATATAAGGGCAACAGAGTCGCCGTGAAAAAAATACACAGGAAAAAGCTGGATCTCAACAAGAAACTGCTGTGGGAGATTAAGCAGGTGCGTTTGTATTACTAGTGCTTAGGATCTTTTAAATTTTTACCCGACTGCGGCGAATTTAAAAAAGGGGGTCAATGTCCCTCTCGCTCTATGTTCCCTCATAACTACTAAGCGACTGAAAATATTTAGATAAATGATATGTCTATAGATTCGTGTTAAAAATAACAAAAAATCAAATGGGTGGGTTTCTAGCACCGAAACCTATGTTTTCAATATTTTTTTTACATACCGCAAATGCTTTTTTAAATTATTGACTTACTTATTACTGTTATTTCCTTGGAATATTTAACTGCTATTTTTGCGGGTGTTGATCTCCGAATATGGAATGCAATACCGAAATACCAAAACTTTCTAGTTTTAGTACTAGTGAAAATTACACAATACATCTGTACGAACCGCAGAATCTAATGACGTTTTCAAACTATTCAAACAAAGGCGCGCAACGTGTCCCACGAGAACACGGTGCGATTCATAGGGGCTTGCGTCGACTGCCCCCTTGTGTTCGTGCTCACCGAGTACTGCCCCAAGGGCTCCCTCAAGGACGTCCTGGCCAACGAGGAGCTGCAGCTCGACTGGAACTTCAGAACGTCGCTGGTGCACGATATTGTACAGGTTTGCCAATTACCCACAGTTAATCGCCGATGGTAACACTTAAGTGAAACACGGTGGTGTTTCACTTAAGTGTTACCATCACACCTTACGAACCTATATATATGTATATATATTTTTTTTTGTAAAATTTGACGATACATAAGAACGCACAAGCGACTATTTGAATAAAGATATTTGATTGAACACAACTGTTTTCGTGGCTTTTATTTTTTAAATGAAAACGTCTTTAGACGCGTGGAACACTTTTTGGATGAACAAAAAGCGTGAAACTCGCGTCATCGTCACTGAACCCGTACCATGAGCTATTTTTAAAAAAGGAATACGAAAAAATATATTTTTATCATATATAGTTATGGATATGATATAAATACTGTTATTATCGTTCGGAGTGCCTATACAATATGTAGAATTAAATATTATACAATTTCAATTTTGATATTGTTTTATGTTTTCACTTCTGTAGACAGTCACCATGAGACTGTATGTCTTTTTTTGTGAAAAGTAAGCTAACCTGATTTTAAGTGGTTACCGCCTATAAGCATGTATAACACATTTTGGTTTGCAAAAGCGTTGGTAACCCTTTGAAATATGGGTTGCTTCATTCACCACAAGAAACGCAAAGTAAGTAAGTCACTTCTCGTAAATAAGTAACTTCACGCTGATAGTCTGTTAGCTAGTATTTTTAACCGGCCGGCTAATTTGTACAACTGGAGCTGCTGTATGACCGTATCACAGTATGTATATCTGTATTAAATGTATTACGTGTATGTAATCTGTATTACGGCCTCGACCAGCCAAGTAATTTGTCTGGATATCTGTATATCGAATTAATTCACGTTTTCTCCATTGATCATTTTCCGTAGGGTATGTGCTATTTGCACAGTGGCCTTGGGGCACACGGAAAGCTGCGCTCGTCGAACTGTTTGATAGACGGGCGCTTTGTGTTGAAAATTTCCGACTACGGGCTCAACACACTGTGCTCACCACCGGACTTAACAAAGGACGACACGTATTATTACAGTGAGTATATACTCGCATTTCATATTGCATGTTTACACTCCTCGTAACTGTTTATTTACCTTCATCTTGATTCTTATCCCCTAGTCACCAGGAGAGAATTAGAGCCAATGTCAGGAAACAAAAGCTTGGGATTTGATGAAGAATTTTATCGAATGCTTTTAAATTCATATCATCGTAAATAACTATAGGGCAAACATGATGTATTTAATGTTTTTATGCAGTGGACTTGTTCTTAATGTTGAGATAATTATATAAAGATAAAGTATTATCTTTTACATAGTTAATTTAAAGTTAGTGGCACTAATTATAATGAGCATGTTGACGAAACTTTTACTGTGTGCTTCATCACCACAACATAAGTTGAGATGATAGTAAAGTAGTGATCTCGCCGCAATGATGAGGTTATTAGTCCGTTGTCTATGGCTATTGGTGAAAGCGGAACATTTTACGACCAGAATTATTGTGGACTGCGCCTGAGCTGGTATCTGGCAGCCTGTACCCTGGCGCCATCGCCTCTTTGAAGGGAGACGTCTATAGCTTCGGCATAATCTTGGAGGAGATCGTGAGACGTGCGGGTCCTTTCCATCACTACACGCCTACAATGTCCTATAAAGGTATTTTGCAAGTTTTTTTTTTGACATTTACGAAGTTTTTTTGATACGAATATCGCGTTATACAAAAGTTTTATGGCATATGGTCGATAGATTATATCCTCTAAGATAGATTAAGATGTATTACAAATAATAAGGGTGTTGGTTTCTAATTTGTAAAATTATTTGTACATTTTTTTAAACTGTGCTAATTTCTATAAAAATCTAGCGACCCGTCCCGGCATCAAGATCCGTTGCGTAGTTTTAAAGATCCAAACATACATAGGAACAGATAAACAGCGGGTCGACTTTGTTTTATATTATGTAGTGAAGAGGCTTTTTTCTAAAATCATTACAGAAATAATATATAAATGTAACCTTTGTACGAATGCGGAAGTATACTTATGCGTCTGTTCATGCCCTTTCCTTTTTTAATATACTCTCGTCTTCTAATGACACCCGCAGATTCGTGTAATAAAACTGGTTTACGGATTTTATTATTTATCATTAACCGTTAACTTGTCTATGTTTGTAATGGCTTACACCATCAATACAACTACGTCATCAACACTAGATGAGGTAGAATACTAGCTTTACTTAGTACAAAGTAACAAAACGGTCTCTCGTCTTTTAACCCTAAGATATGCCAAACCTTTATCTTGTATTATTCTTGCAGTAATGTACGAATTAATGTAAGGGATTTTTGCATGTAAAGAAGTTGAGGAAGCGCATCGTTAAACGCATCGTCCTTATACCGTTAGTCTTAAAAATTTAACACCAAAGTTCAAGCCTCACTGACATCATATTTATGTCACGCAATCTAAATAAGGTGCCGTGATAGTTCAGTGTCCGGGCGTTCGTTTTTAATTCAATATATTCGAGCAACTTGAGTTCAAATCCTGGTTCCGGCACCAATGAAAATAATTTTAAAGTGCTCACTTATCACGTGCTCAGCGGTAAAGGAGAACATCGCGAGGAAACCTGCGACTTTAGAAATACTGAAACAGTATACTGTTGGATTATACTAATCGTCTCTGTACAGAGGCCTTTGCCCAGCAGTGGGCCAATATATGTTGTTATTTGACTATATTGTAAACAATATGATTTTATTCAAATCGATGTGATTTTCAATCAAATTTTATAGTAACGTGTTTTTTTAGAGCTCCGCATGTATTTCTGTTGCCGCTATAACAACAAATATTAAAAAGAGAATATAAAATATGTTAGTCCCATTCAACGGACATGATTTTTTTATAATGGTACGGAACTCTTCGTGCGCGAGTCCGACTCGCAGTTGGGCGGTTTTATTTTAGGTTAATCTGATAAAAATGATCTTGGCGTTGCCACGACCAGAGATCGTGAGCCGCGTTTGCGCTCGAGAGTCGCCCCCGTTCCGGCCCATGGCGGGGGTCCAGGAGGTGGGTGCAGCATCAGGTGGTGGAGCGGCCACCGAGCTCCTGCAGCTCGCCGAGCGGTGCTGGTGCGAGGCACCCGACGACAGGCCCACCTTCGACGCCATCAACGCGACATACATCAAGTGAGCCGCCCACGTTGAGTCGAAAGCAGTTTCGTTGATTGTATGAATGAATGAATTAATTAATACACTTTTGTTGTCTACCACATATGAGATTATACATAAAAGTGACAATAGATGTACAATTTGGCGGACTTATCTCTTCATAGCGATCTATTCCAGGCAACCAATGGCGATTGTATGTTGTAAATAGAAAATATTTTAGGGATTTTATCGCGTTTGATTTTGGTTGATTTTCTTTATATTTTATATTAAGTTTTAATAGTGCTATTCGCTGCACTTGGGATGCAACAGTTAAAGTTTTTGCATTTTAGGCAATGCTTGGCGCATCTATTTTTTTTTGTTACGTACTTTACAACACACCAACAATTTCTACTTAATTGCAGTGCTTGAAACCATGCGAGTTGTAAAATAAATTAAACGCGAACAAACTAGGATATAGGTAGACACTAGATACAGGAACCAAAAGAACAGTATGTGAATTTAATAAGTACTTTTAAGCAATATTTTCCTTTGTACCATTAATGTGCAATGGTCATTATGATATAATTAAAGGGGATTATCAAATATATCAAAGATATGTTATTAGATATGGTGTTAGCCCTTTCGTCAATAATAAAAAGGTTACACAATCCTAAATCGGATAGAAGTTATAAAGACTCTGAGGCCACGGTAAACGCGGTACTCAGGAGAAAGCTAACCTCTCTTGCCTTGAAGACACACTGATTTGATCAAACTGAAAGATGTCTATTGTAGTGCAGTAATTCATTATCATTTTGTTCATGTATCAAACAGCCAAAACAAAAGTAAATATTTACCTTTAATTTTCTAGAGGCTACTGCGACAATTTAATGGATGACTTGCTGAGACGTATGGAGCAGTATGCAAATAATCTCGAGTCGCTGGTGGAGGAGAAGACCGAACAATTGTCGCTGGAAAAGAGACGCTCCGAGGAACTGCTGTATCAAGTGCTTCCAAGGTAGAGAATTTTAATGAAATTTATTTTCTCGAATTAAATACATATAATTTACATTAATTTACATTATTGTGTGATGAACATAGTGTATTTCCTGTGTCTGGGTGTTTATATATGTATAATATGTCCCCAATCCCCAATAATAATCCCCAGTTTTCTAGTATCCCTAGTCCAAGCGTTGCTTAGTATTGGACTAGAGAATGTTGTGTAAAAATGTCCGAAAATATTTATTTATTTATTTATTATTATTATATTTCTATATTAAAAAAAACATGCGGTACAGTCTTTGGGGACTGCCGGTAGAAGTGAAAGCTAAGTAAGTTAATAATAATTAGTATATTTATTTATAATTAAAGAAATTAGTTTTAAAGTAAAATTATAAATATGTATAATAATAATAACTAAAATAGATAAAAAACGTTCGGTGACGATGAAGCGAGTTCTCTGATTTTTGTACTCCAAAAAAGTACACATAATTATATACAAAATTATGATTGAATTTTTGAAATTAATTTTTCAAGTTTAAACCGATCCATACACAAAGCCAGTAATTTTATTTAACATCAAAAGTCGGTCCCGTTAAGACGTTATACATATTCAGCCGAAAATTATGTACGTTTATGATGAAATTGAATAATTTGTTATGTTGATTTGTTACGTTTAGATTTGATTAGGGCTAAGTATTTCAGTTAGCTTTCTATTGTACTAATGGTGTTTGTATTACAACAGGTACTGATTTCATTACTAAAACTTTGTTGGGATTTTTCTCAAAGCATTCACAGACCCTTACAAATTTATGGAGATCAGATAAAAGCAAAGCTCAGCAAAAGTTATTTGTACGTATTGATTTTTATCAACTTTTTTTAGTAAATTGGACTATATAACAATGGCTTTCGTATCCGGGAAATTTGAATTCAACAATTTCAGGAATTGAGGTTTCATTGGAATTTTATTTAACGAAATATTACGTATGAGGTGCTCAAATGCTTTTAGAAAAAATAATGTATTTAAAGTAAGAGTATAAGTTTCTGTCATTCATTATAAGCCATGTTCATTGATATAAATATGTAATATGAAATAAATAAATATAAATATTTTTACGATACATTTTTACACAACGTAATTCTAATCCCAAATTAAGCAACGCTTGTACTAATAAAGTTAATTAAACATACTTTTCTTTTGTATAATATATAAACACACAAACACTGGAAAAACAATATTCGTCCAGTAGTGGGGATCGAACCCGCACTAACCGCTACGCCAATCGGGTCGAGTGTATAGGCTGTTACTTTTATACTGTGCACCAGGCCGGTAGCCCAACAGTTGATGGCTGGCGAGGTGGTCCAGCCGGAGAGTTTCGAGTGCGTCACCGTGTACTTCAGCGACATCGTGGGCTTCACGGAGCTGTGCGCAGCCTCCACGCCCATGCAAGTCGTCGACCTGCTCAACGACCTGTACAGCACATTCGACAGGATCATTGGATATTACGACGTTTACAAGGTGCGCCATGTCTGCATACAGAATTACCGTCAAATCTAAAGGTCGTAATATTTTCACCAAAAGCTATTTATTGACTCGTGCCGCATAGCGTTTAGCGCATTGTCGTGATAGAAGCTTCGAACAAAATGTCAAGGTCAAAGTGATCGATACAAAGTGGACACCGAATGGGGCGTTTTTACTTTGGAGGTAACGATCTAACCGTGGTAGAGCCACGCAGGCTGTTGCACGAATGGGCGGACTCGTCCGGGTAAGTACCACGACCTCACAGAAGACTGGTGACGAGTGGAAGTATAATACTTTCGCATTTCAATTTTTTTTGCAACTCTCGGGTGTAGCAGATGTCCATGGGCGGCGGTTTACTTAACATCAGGTGAACCGCCTGTTCGCTTGGCAACTTTTCAAATTAAGAAAAACTTATTTTCTTTTTTCGTTGAAAATACTTCTTTATCAATTTGTATGACATACAAACAGAGCACTGTGTGAGCAAAAAATATCTGTGCCTATATATAAGCCGTAAGGGAGTGTATTGCAGGTGGAAACGATTGGCGACGCTTATATGGTGGTGTCCGGTCTACCTAAAAGGAATGGAGACATGCATGCTAGGGAAATCTGCTTGATGGCGCTGGCTGTGGTGGAAGCAGTACGGACCTTCGCTGTTCGACATCGACCAACACACCGTTTGGAAGTAAGTCTTGACCATATTTTCGTTTTTCTTTTCTTTTAAAGAAAAAAGGGGGAACTCATCTGATGGTTAGTGATCACTGCCGCCCATGAACAGAGATATATAGGTTATTTGAACTGTATTAATTATCTACTTGTTCTCATTCTAAAATCGCGTTTAGTTTAGCTACATAGGTTACCATTGCTACTATCAACATCAAATTAAAAAAAATGTTTCATTGTCTTATACTGTAGTACTATATGGTACTATGCATGGAGCTAGGGAAACTAACAAACTATATAAAGTATGTATATTAGAATCAAACAACCATACTCGTATTATGAATCACGGCCCCACACAAAGATTATTAGCTATGATAACAATAACTGAACGCGCTCCATTAGATGTATTTTGTTTGTCAGTCGATTTGATAGCATTATATTCTAAAGGTCCGCGTTGGTGTTCACTCTGGCCCAGTGTGCGCAGGGGTGGTGGGCGTGAAGATGCCGCACTACTGTTTGTTCGGGGACACGGTCAACACCGCGAGCCGTATGGAGTCGACTGGACAACGTAAGAGACCATTTAAAATTTTCCCTTGTACCGTAGGTACGGTCTATTTCCCATAACTAAACTATTACATATATGCTTAATATTTGACGGAATGATTGATTTCCGCCCCGGTACCTCAATGTAAAAAAAAAGTAAAAACACAGCCTATACATGTCCCACTGCTGGGCAAAGGCCTCCTCTATACAGAGGGTATCAGGGCATAGTCCGCCACGCGGCCCCACTGCGGATTGGCGGACTTCACATATCTTCGAAATATTTTTTTTTGTTATTATATATTAGAAAATGTGCAGGTTTCCTCACGATGTTTTCCTTTACCGCGGAGCGCGTGATAAGTCAGCACTTAAAGATAAAAACTTCATTGGTGCCGGCACCGGGGATCGAACTCAGGTTGCTCGAGTATATTGTATTTAAGGCGAGCGCCCGGACACTGAGCTATCACGGCTACCTACCTCAATGTATCGTACATTTAATTCCTTCGTTGAAAATTTTTAATACCCGAGCCAATGAAAGTTTAGGCAACAGAAATACATTATATACATATATGAAAATTTCAACTAACTGTCACGGTTCATGAGATACAGCCTGGTGACAGACGGACAGACAGACAGACAGTCTTAGTAATACCCTTTGAGTAAAATGGGACCCTATTATCCTACTACTAAGCCTACTCAGCCTTACTAAGCCTCCGCTGTCTGTCACGGAACTCTAAAAAATTAAGTGTCGGTTTGCCGCTCTTTGTACGTATGAAAAATGTGATCAAAGCAACAGCTCAATGAAAATATACAAAATTACCGAGTAAAGGTAGACACATGATGCCTTGTCTACCAATCCGTTAGAGAAAGTCTATCCTCAGCTGAGTAAAATAACTAATGGTGTTTATGCAGCATTGAGGATCCACTTAAGCGAGAGTACGCGCGCGTTGCTGGAGCAGTGGGGCACGTTTGTTGTGGAGCGGAGGGGTGAGGTGGAGTTGAAGGGGCGGGGAAGGATGCTCACACACTGGCTACTGCAATGCTCGGAAAAGGAGGCAAGGCAGACGGGCCCGGCGGCGCCACCGCCCCAGTACCCGATACTGTTCCCCGCGTTGCCGCAGCCGATGCCAATGCACGCGCCCTACATTGTCGTCGAGCAGCCCACGTTGGCCGCCTGAACTGTCGCCTAAACTGTCAATTGATTACTTCACGTCAACTGTCAATTGATTACGTCACGTTCTTTTGACACTTGCCTACTGCTTAAAATTGTAGCGGTATACGACTTGACATTGTTGTATAAGTGAATTTGACGTATTCTTCTTCTTCTTCTTTGATTAATGGCCTCTCTTAAAATAACGTATTCTTTTAACGACACAGCTTTTGAACTGTCAAAATGACATCTGTATTTGTCGCTTTGACCAAGAGCCTTTAAAAGAGTTTATATTCTTATTGTGAAGACATTATATTAGTAAACCTGTTCGACACTTTTTCTCCTTAATCTTATTTTAACAGGATAATTCGATAAACCAGATTTCAAAAACATAATCTAATTGATACTGTAGTGATAATTTGAAAAATGTAAATGACGGCTCCCTAAATTGGATTCTAAAACCTCGTTGCCGTGAAATATGAATGGAATATCTTTTTCAGTGTTATTTTTTTTTTCATTGTGTGCTTTATTATTATCATAAATTAAAAGAAAATACGGAAATGTCCACAGTTATGGAATATCACATAATATATAACATGCTATAAAAATATCTGTTTGAGAAAACTCTCCTTTTTCTTCTATATTAAAATTAGCATTTGAACAGTTAAAGAGATACTACAATTTAAGTAATAAGTTAATATATAATTATATTATGTGTATAATAAGCCAAAGAAAAAATAAAAATAAAAAATGAATGTATGTACTACTACAGGAACTTCTCTTAGACATTTCCTATTTATTATTGTAAGCTTTCTTGATCAATTTGAAAAAATTATGTATTTTATATCTTCGAAATTTAAATAGTTTTTATGTCTTATAAAATATTTTCTTATCTTTAGGCACGTAAGTATTTGGTAGAAAAACTACAGTATTTTATTTTTATTTAGATAAACTAGCGTGTAGAATGTAGATTAATGTGCCAAATATATTATAGGTATAAATCGAAAACGTAGAGATATCAAAAATTATTTTTGTATAAATGTTTAGAATATATCAGAGAATATGTATATACTGTGTTAACTCGTATTTGTTAAATTTGTATTCTGTTTTAGATCTTATATTTATGTCAATTATATCTATTAAAATTTCTTTTCCTCAATAAACCGAATGGACAAATATAAGTTTTTTGATTATATAAGTTTAATATTAATGTTTCTGATACAAGCTTTACATTATATCAATGTGTTTTCTTTTCCCTCTAGGATAGATTTTAAGATTTTCTTGATTAATTGAATGTAGACAACAAAGAATAAGACGTTTTAATTCTTTTATGGCTTTTTTCAAGTACCTATAAACGAAAAACGTACCAGTGATTGGTTCCTACCCTTAGAGAAAGAAAAAAAACAAAAGAAACTGTGTTTTCGTTTTTTGAGATACATATAACAAAGACTAAGTAAGAAATCACAGCAGCAGGACAAGAGTCATCCAGTATAAAGAGGCCGATTTTAGTATAATAATTAAAATATTTAAGTATTGCATTATTCTTGCTGTGAATCTCTATAGTAACATTCCCTTTGTTAATTTTGAGTTGGCGATTGTGACTTGAAATAAATGCAGATCCTGAAAAAGATTGTTATTTTTCATAGGGAGGATTTTCATCTTGCACATTTATTTTCAAAGTATAGGGTATCCTTCTATCTATCCATCTCATATTCTTGAAATTTTTTTTACTCATATTTAAGAGCAAAGTACCTCGTGTCAGTTTAATCTATCTCTATTATCTAGTGCTCAATTAAGTATCTTTTTTATGCTTCTTTAATACTCAAAAGTCATTTGCAGACAATACTATGTACGAAATCATCTGAAAAATTAAAGGCAAACCGTTGTTATGAACTGAAATGGTTCGATAATCTTATACGTACCTATTTGATAAATTCTTTTTGCCCTGTTTTTCTAAAGATAAGTATATATTTACATACGTCAGAGTTAAATTTATTAATTAAAAAATGGTCCTCACACTCAAATGGCTTTCAAAAAGGTTAAAAATATTCACAGATTCTTCGGTAATGATTATAACGAAAAGACAAGAAAATAGAAATATTGAAATAGGTTTGTATTTTTAAACAATAATTGTCTTTACATTCCGATTTATGTCTGATCAAAATATTCGTATAATTTAGTGAATTTGAAAATAGGTATAACAACAGGTACACCATACTTAAGGTGGCTTACTTAAAAAATGATTTTTTTATAAGTAGGTTGATTAAATGCTAGTGAGTTTTATGTCCAACAGAATAAGTTATTAATACGAGTAGTGTCTAATTTATGTGTATTAGTTTATCTTCTTATTTATTCTTTCATTTTATTTGTGTACCTACTTCAATTTTTCTGAATTAACCGTTAGGTTGACTGGCAGAAAATGCCTTTGGCATTGTCCGCTTATGTATAAAGATTTTTTTGTGCATAAAGTTCAAAACAAATAAATAACGTTTGCTAAAGTAAACAACCAGTAGGCGTTACGTTTTCAGTGATTCTTTTATATAATTTCTTAAAGTTTTTACGTCATTGGGGCCTATGCCGCTAAAACTAAAGTTATATAATTCAACAACAACTCAAGTTCAGTAAAAGCTCGGAAGTTTTTAAATATGTAGGAACTTTATATAAAAAAATACAGAGAAAATTAAAAAGAATAATGCAAGGGTGGCAATTCACTTGAACACTTGAAAATGTATGGATAAACATAGCATACTTATATTATAAATGAAAAAATCTTTTCAAAGTCTCGTCTGTAATGACAAGCTTAAAATTTTAAAATTAAATTTTTTCCTTAGAATCTCCATCATTTATCGATAACATCAAAAGAGATTTTTAGAAGTAAATAAATACAAAATTTGATAAAGCTATCGGGAAATAACTTTATACGAATCATTGTTAGAACTGGCAGTTTATGTTATTACATCTGATTCGAATTCTTTTTATTTAACTTTCGTACAGGAAAAACGGTTAATGTTCCTGAGAACTGGTGTGCGCGGAATAAAAAGTTTGACTCATATCAGTGAGCCAAATTAAATTACATTTTTCATGTAGTTGTACACTCGCGTCTCTTAACTAAATATAAAATTAATCTTATTTGAAAACAATTTCTTGATGATTTCGACTAATACTCCGTGTCTGTATAATTATCTTCTGTATATTTTTTCATATTATGTTCCAATAAAGTGACGATTAAATATGCTGCGATCGGTGACCCCATTGGTCTAGTGGTTAGTGAACCTGCCTCTTGCACCCCAGGGTGTGGGCTCAATCCCCACTACTGGAAAAACATTTATATATATACATCAGAAAAGTATATTTTACTATAGCTCTTATTACATAGGAAAAGTTTCTATTACCCATATTACAAGTGTTGCTTAGTTTCAGACTATAAAACGTGTAAAAATGTTTTCTGAAATATTTAAAAGAATTAAAACATTATAATATAAAAACATGATTGCACTTTTTGGACCTTTAATCCTAAGAATATCTTATCCTTTAAACAAGCAATTGTATGTATATATATATATATATATATAGAAAATGCCCTTTTATCCCTGTTTTCAGGAGATGAAAAATATCATAAGAATATGACGGTAAAATTCGCCGAAAAAAAATGTTATAATAGCTCAGTCGGTAATCGGGCCGCCCCGAAACAGAAGGCCGTGGTTCGTGTCACGATCATTTATATACTTATTTTTTTACTTTTTCCAGAACATTGCTGTCTTTATTTTTTGTCCATCCAGATGATTTTGTTCTATTTTCCCTTTTTTTTAAGTTCTTTCTTTTGTGAAAAACACCAGTTCATATTTTCTTATTATTACGTCGGTAAGATCGAAAAATATTATGCATATTTCATTACTCAGTAATTTGTATCTAAATTTAATTTCAAAATTACACGATTTACCAAAAAAAAAACCTTGTTTGTTTTTTTTCTCCAGGTACTACAGTTTTAAGTAAGGAATTTAGCAGGCAGGTAATACAGGTGGTTAGGTTCTCCAGGTACTACAGGTTTAAGTAAGGAATTTAGAAGACATGCTCTTTGTTTGTCAACCTTATTACATCTGACATTATACTTATTTTGACTTAATACACATCACCCAATACTCACAAAAACACTCAAAGTTAATCTAAATTTAATACTCTATCACAAGTCATATGAACACAGGCTGGGTTACGATTAAACTTCAAAATCAACAATAAATTGTAATCTATTTATCTCTTACTAATAGTGGACGCCCGGTGGTCGAAATTTGAACATAATTAATTTAAATTGACGTCATCATCAAATAATTGAAATGACGTCGCTACCCACTGTTACTGACATTTTCTGTTATGCAGATGACACTGATATCATTTTCCATAGTAAATTTTGGTCGACAGTTCGTCAAAAAGTAGAAGTTGGAATGACTTACATTTCTAGCTAGTTCGATAAGAACGTAAGAAGGAATAATAATTAGACATCTAATAATCTAAGTTTTATGATTCCATAATACAGCTCCTTCTATCCCAAAATTTCTTAAATCTATAAAATTACATTGCACCTTTTCTCCTTTTATATCTCACTCTAAGTGTAATTGTACTAAAGGTAAACGAACAGATTCGCTAAAATACCTTCCTGTAATCTTGGACTAGAGCCGTGATAGCTCAGTGTCCGGGCGCTCGCCTTTAATTCAATATACTCGAGCAACCTGAGTTCGATCCCCGGTGCCGGCACCAATAAGTGCTGACTTATCACGTGCTCTGCGGTGAAGGAAAACATCGTGAGGAAACCTGCATATTTTCGAAATAATAACAAAAATATATATATTTCGACAATATGTGAAGTCCGCCAATCCACAGTGGGGCGGCGTGGTGGACTATGCCCTGATACCCTCTGTATAGAGGAGGCCTTTGCCCAGCAGTGGGACATGTATAGGCTGTTACTTTTAATCTTGGACTAAAAACTTTCATTCAAACAACATATAGCCGGAGTTGACCATAAAATAATACAGTCGGTTTTCTTACTTCTGTGCTAAAACGCTCATAAACTTCTGTATTCTCGCTTGGGATGGTTTCACTTCTTCACGACGACGCCGTCCGCTCCACTCCGCAACACCCTTCTAATGACAAATGGACAATCGACTAACTTGGGGCATGACACGATCCAAGGGCCCCTCAGATTAAGGTTACCCGTTTCCTCTTCCCATATACATATATACTGGATTTGGGTACACTAACATCTTTTTCCTTTTTTTTTAAAAACATTGCCCTCACTTTAGGATAACATTATCCTGTGTTGTAAGGACGTTTTACAAACATAAATTGCACGAGGACACACACCCAGATGCGAAACAACTATCTGTGGGTCACACAAATAGTTGTTCGGTATGGGAATCGAACCCAAGACCCCCAACGCCGAAGGAAATATCTTGGCAACTGTGCCACGGAGTCATCAAACCATCACATCACCCCCAATATGTCCAGTATAGACCATACAGACTATATTGTGATTATATAATAAATATTTTTAACTTTTAACAGTACCGCGGCCTTGACTCGGGTGATGCTGCAATCATAGCTAATAACAGGCGATAACAAAACAATGTCCTTTAACGTGAAAATCGTATTTTCTTTCTTCAATTTCAGCCTGTTACAAGCTCAGAATAAATAGAAGAAGCGTCAGTAAACTGAGTCATATGTGTAAAAAATATTTTTAGTCTAATTTTGATCTTTAATAGCGAAAAACAACGTTTATTTCAACCAAGCGTCGTACAACTGCAAATCTAGATACATTTCTGAAAAACATTAAATACTCTTCATTACGGGATATCTAACCAATTGTAATCTCATGGCTTTTAGCATTCCAGGTACATCACAACTCCATTATTGAGTCCGGCAATTCGATTATTTTGTTGTTAGATTTCATTTTCTATTCCCCATTCAAAGGTCGAAACGAATCAGTATAGAGACCGCAAGGAATTCTCGACATTGAACCTGAGATTACGGCGGAAAGGTATGTGATTGAATTGAAACACAATCGCACCCCGGGCGATGGATTTTTCGAGTGAATATCGAATGTACTTGTTAGCACTTAACAAAATCAATTTGTGTACACTTTTTTAAACTTATTAAGTATATTAACATAACTATCTTATGATGTATATTATTTGTATGTGTTTTTTTATGAACTTGCAACGATTATACATTTCGTCGCTACAAACATTCTTCCATGAAACGCGTTAGTTACTAATACGCAAAACAAATCATTTTACAATTTTATGAAAATCATTGAATCTTCTGGTATATTAATTCTAAACATATTTGTTATTACATTGATAAATAATTACCTTTTTATATTTTATATGTGTTTTCTGGGAAAAATGAAATCAATCAAACCTTTGGGTGTAAATTAAAAAAGATATAAACAATATATACTTTTTACTATGATGTAATTTACTATGTTGTCGACTCATAGTATTTTCGGCCCGACTGGCACTGGGCAAAAAAAAAGATAGAATGCTATATTCTATTGATAGCGTAGATTTTAAAAAAATATTGTAATACAAGTATCGTTAAAAAGCACGGGTTCACTTTCAGCACACGATTTCCGCCTACAATATCCGTTCAAGGGTAAAAGCAAATCAGTATGAAAGCCACTGAGGTCGCCTGGAATGTGCCGACAATGAACCTGACATTGAGACGGAGTACCGTGTGATTGAATTGAAATGTAATGAAGTGCTTCAAACCGATCGCAAAGGTATCCGCATATGTGGAAGTGGGCTGTCACAAAACAACTTTCAGTTTTATTTAAAACTTTTTCACCAAATTTTATACGTTAAATCAGATTTCTCCTAAAAACATACATATATATACCTTCGTTAATATTTATTATAGAATTATCGAACCGCCCCGGCGTCGCACGGATGCAGTGTACATATTGAATTTCTCGGCTTTTCTCTTTTTCAGAATCAAAATCAATCGCTTATTGATAATGAAAATTCTACCACCGACCGGTTCGGAAAAGAAAGCCACTGTACTGAGAAGAAACTCAGCGGAAATTTTACTCTACTATAATATGTATGTATACTAAATATAAACCTTCCTGCTTAAAACTAAATACCTATTGCTGAAAATTGCATTAAAATCCGTTGTGTAGTTTAGAAGATCTAAGCGTTAAAACTGCGTACTTTGTTTTATAACATTTACTGATTATGACTAATTCCTTTTTTCCTGATTTCTTTAAGTATTTATAGCATCAACAAAAATCAGGATCGTGGTAAGAATTGCTAACATACACATTTAAATATTTGGTTACATAATTCTTAATTTTGGCAACAAAATGTCAAAATTAATGTTCTATATACTGTGATGAATTTTAAAATATTTTATCATGTGAATCATTAAGAATGTGGGACCATTAGTCCTTAACCTAGATATACTGCGAGTACAGTGATGCGGCCACATATGGAATTTACATAATATTAATAACGTCTCTCGTGTCAAAGCATTGTATCCCTTTGTGCATTTTGCAATTAATATCACCGTATTCCGTTGATATTAATTATATGATGAACAAATAATTTCCTGTCTTATTACATTATAAGGATTCGTATTTTTTATATTGTTTGACATTTTTTTTTAATTTTATTTTAAACATTGCCCTTACACTTTAGGATAACATTATCCTATGTTGTAAGGACGTTTTACAAACAACTATCAAACTAAACAACTATCTGTGGGTCACACAAATAGTTGTCCCGTGTGAAATAGTTGTCCCGTGGAATCGAACCCACGACCCCTGATGCCGAAGCCAATACCTCGGCAACTGCGCCACGTTGTCATCAAATTCACATTCAATTCATCAACATTATAACGGTTTCATAGTTTTACGCAAATGTTACGTACGTAACATTAAATTGAACGTAAAACTATTTTATGGATTCTATCGTCTATAATTTGATTTAAATGAATATCTTTTCGAATAATAGAGAACATTAACATCATATAATAATAACACGTAATGATGTTAAGTCTGCCATTGGACGTTTTATCTGTACAAAGTTTTTAAATAAATAAATAATAAATAAATATTGACATGCACAAATTATTAGAGTGCCTGCTGTTAGCAAACCTTTTAAAAATATAAAAATCAATATTAACTATTATCTTCTGTACTTCCCTTCAAGGCTAAAAGCATAAGACTATTTCAAGTTGTGAAGAATATTGTATCTCGACTCTCGAGAGTGAACTTTATATTGAAATAAATAGACACTGTGTTGAAATACGAGGCTCGCCACATTACTTTGCAAATATATTCACTGCGCGACATTTTTAATAAATTATGATACTGTTCTTCTTTTTCTATGTCCAGTGTTATTTTATAAACCCGTTATTTTTACAGTTTACGTCAACAACTACGTAAATCGATTCGATGAAACTTAAAATTTATTCTCATAAGATAAAGTACCTGGAGGAACGAGCTTTGCTCCGTTTGTTTTTCTTTTTTGGTAAATCGTGTATTTTGGAAATTACATTTAGATACAAATTACTGAGTAATGAAATACGCATAATATTTTTCGATCTTACCGACGTAATAATAAGGAAATATGAACTGGTGGTGTAAATGATCGTGATACGAACCGCGGCCTTCTGTTTTGGGGCCGCCCGATGAAACCTAGCTAGATCGATTTTTCGCCCCCGAATCAACGCACATATATATTTATATATATATAATACTATATACATATATATATATATATATATAATCGGAATCTCGGAAACGGCTCCAGCGATTTTCATGAAATTTAGTATGTGCGTAGATTCGGTATACGTATAAATATATATATACATGAATTGCTCGTTTAAAGGATAAGATAAGATAAACGAAAAACTGACTATATTACCGCCCTGGGGTGACTTGAAGAGATTGTCTAAAGGGATAAGGATTACAAAGGGTGTCAATGCTAGGTAATTCCTAGGGTAATTGCAATAAAGAGTATAATATGAATAAATAAGTATAACATTAAACTAGATTTCTAGTCTTCTTTTGAATGGCCAATGTATCTGCTTGTAAGCCATTTCATTTTTCGTCAAGTTCAATGGCATTGGTACGTTGTCTGCATGTGGGCTGCTTTTACACTGATTTGATTTGCCAGTTTTATCGAGTACTGGACGGAGAATTGTACTTCCATTGCAGAAGAAATAAAATGATTCAAGCTTTTATTCCACAACTTGGAGTAAAACAATAGCTGCCATTTAATTTTGTTTCTACTAATATATAAATATAATTATTGGAGTCTTATCACGGTCCATAAAATATAGTCATTTATTTTAATGTAAAAACCTTTTTAGGGATGAGCGTGTGATGCGTTACTTGAAAACTATTAGCTACACTAAGAAATAAATACAACTAAATCATAATTACAGCACCCAATAATTGTCTCGAACTACAAAAAATGTAATCGTCGCAACTACATAAATAAACGCATACAAATAATATAGGTGCATCATAAGATAGTGTGAAATAGATATACACTAATTATATTCTATATTTAATATATTTAACTATACTTAAATATGTATTTCTTTGCTTGTGCTTTTCCCATACAGAAATGGTCTAAGAAATAACGTGATATTTTGCATACAGATAATTAAAAAAAAAAACAGCTCATTATGTTTTGACCACGAAGAAACTACATTTGTACAGATTCTGAGGAATTTTCTATGAAATAATTCAATCGATTTCAGGTGCAGGCCCAACCACTGGAAACGTTAATTATGAAAAAGTGTCATTATAGGTTATTAGTATATTTTATATTACATATACTACTGTACTAGCACTTTTAAAAATAGTAGTTGTACTACTATTTATTATTTTTTAAACACACCATGGTAGATTTCAAAACAAAATACGAGCAGGCTTAAATTGTAACCTATGAACAAACAAAGGAAACAACTCAGAGTCTGATGGAGAGTGAGCGGTGACGGTTCGGACGAAGGTTTTGCGCTTCCAATTGCCACAGTTTTTATTGTGTCGCGTTCAAGGAGGCCGCTTTCCAAAAACCTCTGCAACCACATCGAGAGTGGTCGCGCGAAAGGCGAATGCTTCCTCATCCAAACCACCAGAGGAACCGTCATGATAGAATCGGACACAACGTGACCGCATTCATTTTCGTTTATGCCTCGCGACACACAATAAGCCAAAGCGTATTCTAAAGACGTGGCAAATACGAATTTCCGTTTACCCTGTAGCACGTCATCGAACATGTCCTCGAATCGCATTTCAGGTACTATTTCAAATTCATCTCGTATCTGCGGATCGTGTTCGAAATACGCCAGGATACCCGCTCGCCCGCCGAACCGATATCCATTCTCAGTGGCCTCTTTCAAGTCAGCAAAGTTCCCTATGATCGTCTCCGTCTTCAATGCACCTATTAAAACGATTTGGTAAGCGCTTCTAACGACGAACGTAAACCAAATCCACATGCCCATAATGTAAAAATCCCTAAATCGTTTTGGGACAACTCTCACCGGTTGGCCGACCATCACTGCCCAAATTCTGAACGCAACGCCTTTCAGCCTTTGTGCTCCCCTAAAATGACGACGGGAAAATTTATCGATCCGTTTCAACTTTAATACTAACGGTAAAGACTTTAAAAATGACAATAGAATCAACAAGACAAGCCACATGTATCCGTTTAACGGTGACAGTAGACGGAGCCACACATATCCTGGCTTTTTAGGCGGCGCTAACCAAACTATTCGGATTCTGAAGTATGGAAAGGAATAATCTAGAAGCTGTAATCTTTCCACACCCAACGAAATGCTGCAAGTTGAAATATTAGCAATGCCGTTTATAACATCGCTTAACGAATCGGACCAAGTCTGGGACTGATCGGAGTCGATGCTAACGTAATCTTTTGTGGAGATCACAGGAGTGAAGTTCATAGCCTCCTTTAACAGCCGCATCATAGTCTTCCTTATAGTCTGCAAGGGAATCTTTTGTTCCATGACGGAGTGGTAAAGCTTGTTTGTAGAGATGTAAAGGGGACAATCTTGCATATTCTTCATTTTGTCTGGGTATACGTGCACGTTGGAATTATTTTTGTTTACGAGACCAAGAAGAAAAGGTTGTGTGTTTTGACAGTTCGTATTGTTTTCATACGGAAAATAAGTATATAATGCAGTTACATTCTTTTTATGGCTTACTATAACTACGATATCTGTCACATAATAACTCCATAAAGTATGAAATATACGTTCGACTCGATGCCAGCGTGAAAGAATTGCTATGATAAATTTAGCACCGCTGTGCAAAAGTGATTTTCCTTTTAGATCTGGCTTTAGTATATCTAGGACTTTTCTAAATGACTTCAAAGATCCAAGAAATATAACCACTTGACCTGGTGTGAGTCCATCACGTTTGATTTCATTTACTACGCTTCCTCTGAAGCTTTTTAGAAAGCTATCAACGATAACACCGTCGGCGTCTTCTGATATAACCACTGTTTCTAATCTAAAATTGAAGTTTTCGTTGGCTACAAATGTTGCAGTATCAACAATGTGATTATGCTTAGAATTATCTATATCTTGCAATATTAACGTAGACCCGAACTTTATGAGGAGCAGAACCAAAATTTTGATTATGTATAACGTACTCATCGTTGCTGCTTACGGTATGCGATTGCACGATTTCAAAGCAACAATTATAAATAGATCGAACATTGCAACAGTTCAAAGGAACAATGGGAGCAATTTTGTAACATTAAAAATACTATTAATCAAGATCTGCTGTTAAGGTTTTTTTCTACGCCTGCATCATCAAACGTCACGAGCATTTTTATAAAGTAAAGGGGCCATGTTCATATGATTTTTTTTTGTAGAAGCTATTTCTCAAATTCATTTTTTTACTTTTTAGTTTCCGTGAAATTTTGATTTCATTAAATTTTAATACAATATAAGCGATGTAAAGACAACTCAAAATTTTAAAAATGTTGAAAAGTTAGAGCAGAAATATCATGGTATTCAAAATATTTTTCAATTCCATATTAGAACAAATTAAATAAATAATGAGACTTGAATTCAAGACGCAGTAATTCTAGGGCTTTAACAAAATCTAACACATGGGGCAAGTTCTTGTATCTAGGCAACCACAAGCCATCACGTAAACAAACCCTACTCTGAGTTGAACACAACTTTTAAGTCGATCATGTAACCTTAATTTTTGCATTAACATAAAACAAATGTTACTGTTCGCAGTTTAGCTTTTTTATTAAGTTGTTATAGTATATACATTATGAATATAAAGAACAATCATTTATCATTGTTTTTTTGTATCACTTTAATGTTTGCCCATGTCACGAAAAGTTTAAAGTTGCCGAATTGCACTAATGTGGAGTTGTTTGAAGCAAGCAGTTTAAATTGTAGGCCATGCCCAGCTAATTCTTCCATGATATCTTCGGACAATGGTAAGAAAATCAACATTTCGAATTTTTTATAAATATAAAATAATAAACGTAAAATGTCCATTACTTAAATTTCTAACACAAAAAATTGTCAAGCAGCGTACTGACTTGATGTCTTAAACAGAAATGCATTCACCGAAAATAACGCTATTGGAGTTTCTTGATAATTATCAATAGGATTCTTGATAATTATTAATAGTATTGATATATTCACGGTGGTTCACGGGGTAGATTCACGGTGGCAGGGCCACGAAGCAGCCTCGGCTGTTTCACGAATGGGCAGGCCCGTCCGGGTAAGTACCACGACCTCACAGAAAACCAGCGTAAAGTGGAAGGATGACAAATACTTTCGCGTTTCGTCTGGTGAGTGAGGTAGCCGGAGCCCAATTTTCAAAAGGTTGTCAACGCATCTGTAACCCTCGGGTGTAGCAGATGTCCATGGGCGGCGGTATTCACTTACCATCTGGTGAACCGTCTGCTCGTTTGGCAACTTTTCACAAAAAAAAAGATATATGATTGTCATTTAATAAATTTTGGTAACCAACGAATTTACGGGATCAAGTCCTAAACAATCAATTGCATTTTCTATTTCAGGTTTGTTTTGTACATGTGACACCCATAGCATTTTGTCGACGTCGGGCAAGTGTACACCGTGCAACGTGACGGAGACGGTGTCCGCAGATGGCAGCACCTGCGTACCGCGGAGATGCCAATCTTTTTCCAACAGAATCGTCTGCAGAAAGTGCCCGAAGGATAACATTTTACGTGAGGCAGATATACAGCGTGTCTTTACAATCGCGACAATAAATGAACACACATATAGAGGATAACTTTTTAAAATTGTATTAAACATTTACATTCTTTAAACATCAATATTTACAGAGTTATAAAATTTTCCAAAACAAAGAATTTTAGAACAGCCTTACGTATAAAACTGTAACGTAAAGTTCATTTGTAAAGGTCACAAAGCATGTGAATTGGTTGAATGAATTTAAAAAAGACAAAACATAGTGTTAGAAGGAGAGGCTTGTAATGCAACGCTGTGGCATCGAATGAAAAAGTCTCGGAATGTATGAATCAGTCAGTTGTAGTTGTATAGGATGTTACCAATTTTGTTTCTTTTTTACTTAATTAGATTGTTTGAGAAATATTTTTTTTAATTATGGATTTTTTTAACGTTAATAGTTTTTTATGATTATTGGCAAGTAGAGTTAGACGTGTGTTCATTTATTGTCGCGATGGTAACGACACGCTGTATATTTGAAATACAAATGTTCCTTAATTTAATTCTTTAGTTAAATTAATATCAGTATTCTTTTTACAGTAAAAAGGCCTAGCAACAGTCTACGTTGTTGCACAAATGCACAGGTCGGTCCGGGGAAGTACCACGAACTCACAGAAGACCGATGTGAAGTAGAATGTTATAAAGAAGTGTTTCGTCTGATGAGTGAGGTAGCCAGGGCCCACTTTATCATAAGGTTGCAACTCATTTGAAATCCTACGGGTGTTACAAATGTCAATGGTTTTTCGGTTATCTTTTAACATCAGGTGAATCGTCTTGTCCCCTTCTCATTAAAAAAAAACATTTCTTGAAAAAATAATGCATTAAAATAAAGTCACAGTTCCATCCATATATATCGGAAGTAATCTTCATCAATTGGAGGAAAGAAGACCATTGTAGACAATTATAATACAGTTCCGAACAGCTGAATCGACTCGACAAACATTTATTTTTTTTTTTCAAATTACAAGTGATACATCAAAATATATATTTTGACCTAATGTTTAAGCTTTAAAATGATGCCATTATTTTTACCCAGTAATTTTTAAAATATCCTGCATATCCTGACACATATGGAGAATCGAAAATGCACTGTGTGTGGTAAACGCAAGTTGTGTGTTTCGTTATTAAAAATTTGGGCATGCAGAGCAACCTTATCAGTCGCTTATCAGTCGTTGATCTGAACACAGCTCCGCAATCTACGATCACCGATTTGGAGAAGCTCTATAGTTTCTGCTATTTGGGGTTTTTAGATAGCGCAGTACCCATATAGATACTGCGCTATCTAAGAAGCTGCTCAAGTTTTGTTTTGCTGCAACAGGGCCTTAGCCAGCGAGAAGTTGCTCGCCTACTAAGCCCGAGCCAATCTGCTGTATCAAGGTCAATAGAAGCTTCCAAGAGACTTGGTTCCTACTCTAGGTGGGCAAATACCATACGCTTGCATACTTCCGAGAGAGACGACCGTTTCATTGTCTCGACAAGTCTCGCAAATCACCATCTTAACGGTGTGGCCAAAAGCATCGTTAAGATGGTGACCAAAAGCAACTGAGAGAGGTTCGAGGAGTAACTGTCAGCTAGTGGACTGTCAGAAGACGCTTAAGAGAAGCGAAACTCACTCCAAGTAGACCCGTCATAGGCCCGAAGTTGACAAACACATCACTTGGAATGCTGAGGAATGGTGACGATGAGGGATTGGCCAGCATTAAGTCCTGATTTCAATCCATTCGAGTATCTATTGGACGAACTTAAACGGAGAGTCCGAGCTAGAAGTCCGGGGCTTGCGATCATCGCAGAGCTGAAGACAGCGCTAGAAGAAGAGTGGGAAAGGCTTCCTGAGAGTGATGACCTTGCCTCCTCTGCCTAGCTTACGAGCTACTAGGGGAGGCAAGACTAGATATTAAACAAATAAATTTTATTTTGTGTTTTAATTTGATTTTAATTATCTGTAACAATGCTGCAACTCTGCGGGTGTTGGAAATATCCAAAGTTAACATAAGTTGAACCGTCAGCTCGTTTGCCGGCTTCTCACTCACTAAATAAAATATTTGGAATTTTTAATTTGGTTAATTTAAAACTTTAGATTTTATTAATTTCTGAGTTCCATTTGGTTAATTTAAAACTTTAGATTTTGAAAACAAGGGCGTCATTTTAAAGCTTTAATATTAGGTTTTCTACGTTTTTTTTGTACATTACTTGAGTAATTTTTGAAAAAAAAAAAAAAAAAAAAAAAAACATTTGTACCTTTTGTCGATGTCGGCGTATGTCGATTTAGCTGCCCGTTACTGTATCAATAATACGTTACGTAGTTTTAAATCAATTTTCGTTTTAATTCAAGACATATCCAACAATTTAAGGAGATTTTAAGGAGTTTATTCCTTTTAGTTTTTTTTACTATTCAGTTAAGTTCTGTCACTTAACTTATTGGTTATCTATCTGGATAAAAACTGTGCGTTACCTAGAAATCGAAAGTAATAAATTTTGCTACAAGTAAATATCACAAACCATCATAGTAATGTGCAAAATGTTTCAGTAACGCAAAACCATGATGGGTCCCCTTTGAGAGAAGCATTGTGTGTAAAGTGCGCTCGTGGCTTCGAAGCTCGGAACAATATGTGTGTCAAGTGTGAGAGTTGCATTTGTAGAAAAAGCGAAATAATTGTACGAGGTAAATGCTTACCCAAAAAGTATGTCGTTGAGCGCCCGAAATACGTAGAAAACCAACTACACCCCTCTGATCTGTTGAACATAGTCAAATATGAGCATATGTGCGTTGTAAGTATCTTTAAAGTATAATATTTTATTACAAGATGTGCAAT